GCTCGTAAATTTTGTCGTTCTCAAGGCAGTGACTATAAAAATAACCGTTTTTTGGGGTGTGATATCTTATTAAGGCAGATAATTACCAAGAATTCGGAGGACTCTGATATTTCTATCTTCAGGATCTAATCTGAAAATGTAGACAGAATTTTCCTTCGAAATGTTGGTACCTCTCTACCATGCTGCACAGTGTCGCACCCTAGAATACAGTCATCTTTCCAGAGAGCATGCTCGTGTTTCCCGCAATTAATGAGCTCAATTTAAATATTACATTTAGTCTGAGCGAGGAAACTAGGAACATGCATGAGCTTACGATGTTTTGTACCTAGTGCAAGCAGTTAACATCTGAAAGTTACTCTTTAAAGGGCGAAAGTCTTGAATAAGACAAAGCATTTGATATGCATCTCCAATACAAATTATTCTTAACCTCTTTCGTAGTGACATTTCGTTACGTGTGCCAGAGTACAAGTTAGGCCATATGTTGTCTTGGCCGACTACAACAAAAATACAGTTAATTATGGGAGAAAGTTAAATATACGAGACAATTTCTATTTTCATGTCATGCAGGTGCTCTTAGCATGTATGTACATGGGAAGGAGTACTGTTTCTGCATTTCTAGGCAATATATGGAAGTGGAGGGATGGAGTTAGTGGAAAATTGAAGTTATTACCTTTGTTTAATTAGGAACTTTGTTATCTGTACAAGCCACATAGCTTTCATTTTAATTGATTGTAAACATGAATAGTTTACATTCTTTTCTTTCATTGTACAGACCAAATGCATACCACGGGTATCGAAACGCTGATCTAGATTGTGTGCTACTCATATTAGCACAGTCTTTGCTTCAAACCAGTACACCCGAATCGATTTAGCTTAGGCAAGATATTTGTTCAGAGTATAAAGGTGACCACCAGAGAACATGTCTAGTAATAAATATATTATCTTATTAAATAAATTTATCAGAATCAAATCAGAATGCTAAAGATAAAAGGTAAAGTTGTTCCTATGCTTAAATAATTAAATACTACATGTAGGCGCATGGGGGAGTGGATATATAGCTCCACGCATTCTTCATCTCGGCACTAGATGAAGGTGAGTCGTCAGGTTCACTTCCCGGCGGCTTTACCCCCTGTACCAATTTGATAGGAGGTTGGGTGGACCACAGAACCGGTGTGGACGATGTTGAGAAGAGAAAATTCTTGAACCTACCAGGACTCGAACTCCTACCCTTCCCTCGTTCAGCCGATAGCCAGTCGCTATTCCGACTACGTTATCCCGGTTCCTTAAGGAAGCCAAGGAGTGTACAAATAATGTAACGGTTTCTGTTCTTTCGTTTCTTTCTTTTGTTTGTGTTTAAAGGCGTAGAGAAAGTAAATTTGAAATGAAATGTGTGTTTCATTCTACTGGAGAATATTTGATGAAAGGGTTTACGTCCCGATGTTAAGTACGTAGAATATTACGCTTCAGATGTGTAGGTTTTCATATGAAGTGTCCGTTACTGTTCACCTGATTTTAACCCAAGTTCCAGTGCTTCACAAATTTTGATAAAACCCGCCGATATATTCCATAAAAATTCTTTTATTGTTTTTTGAGTTTTTATAAGTAGACAGACATGACAAAGCTAAAAGACGGATTTTGACAAATTCTTGTCTACAAACAAGCAAACAAACAAACTCCGTGGTTTTAGTCCGCAAAAGAACTATACCGGCCGAGCGACCGCAGCCTGTCAGCGAAGTTAGTGCCAACTTTAGCAGATAGAGGGTGTCGCGTGGTCAGAGCAACGAATCCCCACGGCCGTTAATTTAGGTTTTGTAGACCGGAGCCGCTGTTTCCTTCAAATGGCTCCTCAATTATCCTCATGAGAGTGAGTGGACCTCGTTCCATATCTACAACTCAGAAAATCTTGTAGCCAGGGAATCGAACCCGGACCTGTGGATCTGTAGCCAGGAACTCTGATTACAGACGATCAATTCTTGTCTACAACGAGTAAAAAAAAAACACACACACAAAATATGTTTTAACTAAGTGACTCCGTGGAAGGAGATTCATTTTCAGGAATTACTAGTCACTATGGTCAAGAAATTCCTCACCTTTTATGGAACCCTGGTTTTCATAACGGTGCCCTGTTCACAGGAACGCGTCACTTGATCATATTCTAAGACAGAGGAATCTAGTCCATGCCCTAATCAGAAGTTATCATTACGTATTTTCATTACGTAAATTTTAATAATTGTCAATCTTAACGTGACGTATATCTGTAGCCGGTATCTACGGTAGATGTACTTCCGGTTGTATAAAATATTTTTCTAAGAGAAGTTCAAGGTCATTTTAGCTGAACGTTTGACGTCACAGTTTACTCCGAACTAGAACCGGATGAACATAAGAAACTTCGTTTTGGCTCGTAATGTCGCTGTATCGCAAGTAGCAGCGTCCACAGAGACCGGATGTGCTAATAAGAGTGTGCGTATGTATTTACTGCAGATGACCACTGGCTTTCGAAATTATTGCTTGGCCACTCCGGCGTAATTAAACGATTTATCTGTAAACGTATGTTGTTTTATTTAGCGAAGTGAGAAATATGTAGGCTTGTTTCACTCCGCTTTGAAAATGCGTATAGTGAAATCGCTGAAGTGTCGGAAATATCCAAAATATGGTCCCAATCTGTATGTTTCTCTTCTCGTATTTTGATATACAGACACTACGCGGGTTAGGCAAAACTTGACTTGAAGCGCATTCAGCCTTACGAAAAATGTTCCTTAAGGCACACAGTAAAATAAAATAAAATTTAAATTAAATTTTGTTGTTTTAATGTTCGTTTTCTTTGCTTAAGTTGAAAATTTTCTGTGCTTCCATTTTTTAAATTTTTTTTCTTACTAGTCACAAACCTGCTTACTTGTACACACGCATGCGTACGAAAGTGTACCAATTTGAGTTACGCAACATCCGGAAGTGAAAAGAGACTGAAATCAGACAGCTTCTGTATTTATTTTATATTTCTGCAATAAGTTTTAATTCAGTATGAAGTTATGTCACATTTTATTACTTTAATTTAACTAAATGGAAATACATTTTTTTGTCTGGGCCTTACTTACTTACTTATGTAGCTGCGTCCTTCTTGAAGCGAAGCCAAATCTGCAGCTACTCAAGAATTTCCCGGTATTTTATGGAACCCGAAGGTTCATTACTGTGTTCACAAGAGCCCTCCATTGGTCCTTATCCTGAATCAGACCAATCCAATCCATACCATCCTATCCTATCTCTCTAAGATCCATTTTAATATTGTCGACGCACCTACACCTTTGTCATCCAAGTGGTCTCTTTCCTTCTGGCTTTCCCACCAATATCCTATATGCATTTCTCCTTTTCCATATTCGTGCTACATACGCTGCCCACCTCATCCTCCTTGACTTGATCATTCTAATTATACTTGGAGAAGAGTAAAAATTATGAAGCTCCTCATTATGCAGTTTTCTCCAACCTCCTGTCACTTCATCTCTTTTCGGTCCAAATGTTCTCCTCAACACCTTGTTCTCAAAATTTTGTCTGGGCCTAATGGACATAAATAGGACGTATATTTTCGGGAATAATTCTGGCAACTTACGACAGGATAGCGTTTTCTAAAATGACTTTAATTTCATGGTCACTACATTTTGAAGTTCATCCATAGCGCGAAACATGACAAACATAAAAGTGAGATATATCATTTTGATGTAAACGTTCGGTAAGCGGCCTCCGTAGTCTAGGGGTAACGTTCCTACCTCATGACTCAAGGTACGCGGGTTCAAACACGGCGGAGGTCGTGGAATTTTTATGGGTGGAAAAATTCAGGGAATAAGTCCT